GCAAGCGCGTGTATGTGCTTTTACTGTTTTGCGTCTGTGTGTCTAACGATACACGATAGATAACATTTTTATGGTTCGATACGCCACAACTTTTGATTATTTGACCGCTCAACTGCCCGGTGAGGGAAAATAAAAGCAACCGTATGCGGTAGACAGCAAATAAATTAATTCGCGCCAATCAGAGCCGCACTCTCGGTACCGACGAGCGCTTATTTTAACGCAACGACACTTCGCATTCGACGACAATCGCGCGCAAACAATGCGTAAATAATTAAAAATAAGCAGGAATTACGACGTGGAATGCCGTAAATATATGTGGCGATTGGATTTACTAACAGCGCGACGTACCGCGCTGCTCGCCGCCTTGTTGCTTCCTAATATCGCGTCCCGTGCCATTCTTCGTTTCCACTCACGTCCACGCGCAAAGCAAAAAAGCACCGCTAAATACCATCGCGCGCACCAATTAATATATGTAATCTTATTTTACTTAATTTAACAAAACTATGACATTTTCTAATTTAAATAACACATAATATTACAATTTATGGAAACCTTTCTCGCAGATCTTTACAATTTTTTTTTTATGTTACAGACATGGCAAATCAAGCTATATGCCAAAAAATGGAAGAATTATTACACAGCTTTAATACGATATTGAATAATGTAAGAAGACAGAACGGTTTATTCACTGCAACAGATCAAGAGATAAATTCGTTAGAACTGAAAGCGGTTTTGCAGTAAGTATGAAGCAAGCTGCTGGACTTGGTCCAGCGATCCACAAGCTTCTGTATTCCCTCCAGGAAGAAGGTTTTTGGTTGATCGCGCAATCATTTATGCACCGCTTCCTGTACCCCGATTCTGTAACTCTTAACGACAGTAGTGTCGGAATCGTACTGTCGTTGCTCGTAAAAAAGCAGCGCAACGACAGTATAACGGTTCCGACACTGTCGTTATATTAATTTCTATACTCTGCCATATGTAAATTTTTATTGCTAAATAATAGTACTAACATTATTTGCTGGTATTTCTTGTTAGTATTTTTTATTATTAGCCCCCCTCCCTCCTTCTCTTAGATAATTTTTTACTCACGGGTATACTATCGTATACCCAAATATTAGCTAATACCTAATTATTAATAAAATTGTTTACTCGACAGTACACGACAAACAATTAAATAATAACTATTATATTTTATTATTGCAGAGACAATATCACGATTAGTAGAGAAATTTTACGTGTTACGAGTGAATCGAAAAACCGTCTTTCAAGTTCCTCAGACAACAACACTGAGATGATGAGAAAACTCGTTCAATTAAAAGTACTCGCCGAAACGTAAGTATTCTTAAAATGTCCTAATGTATTGTTCTCACTATTTTACGAAAAATAGTGAGAACTTACTATTTTAAGAAAATAACAACAAAATTATTTTTATAGCATTATTGAGCAGTTGAAACCAGTAGAAAATCAAGGAGAGAACCGCTCCCCTCCCCAAACGTCCAATAACTACTCTACTGTATTCATGGGCGGCCGCAGGGGAGGGCAAGGAGGGGCATTTGATTAAAAGAATTATGCATTTACGTCGTTCAAAATACACAAGTTGATTACATAGTCTTTTTCTAATTGACGTCAACAATAACGTATCGATAAGTTTGATGATCGACAATCATACCTATGTACCTGTTAAATTCTAAACTATTAATCTATATGTAACGGATTCTTTAATAAAATGAATGGAAACGTTGATAATTTCTGGCGATCTTGAGACCTTCGGTTTCATCAACACAAAACATCCAAAAACACAGTCTATCCATGGAGGTAAGTATACGTATTATTGTCGAGAAAGTGCCGAACATAGATAGAAGAAAAATGGAGTTATTTGAAAAAGTCATGAATAATTTGTGCTAGCCACTAGCAACTAGTCTACCCGGTATTCCCACTATACATACTCCTTACAATGAGATATAATTACTGCATGCAGGATATGTATCTATACGACATTTCTATATACAACAACAATAATAGCAACAATAAAGAAATTAATTATTTTATGTACGATAATACGTGTTTTTTACATTTTTCATTATGAAGAAATATGTATAATGCTCATTCTAAAGGTATAACTT